TTGGCAAGAAAATTAAAGCCCTTCGATCGGATTGAGGTGGCGAATATTTGAGCCATGAATTCGACGATCACTTGAAAGAAAATGGTATTCTTTTAGAGCTAACACCTCACGAAACTCCTCAATGGAACGAAGTGTCCAAACGGAGGAATCGAACCTTGTTAGACATGGTTCGATCAATGATGGGTCTTAGTGAACTTCCTATCTCTTTCTAGGGACATGCGCTACAAACCGCGGCACTAACACTAAACCGAGCTCCGTCAAAAGCTGTTGAAAAGACTCCATATGAATTATGGACTAAGAAACCTCCTAGGTTGTCTTTTCTCAAGATTTGGGGATGCGAAGCATATGTCAAACGATTAATTTCGGACAAACTTCACCCCAAATCAAACAAGTGTTTCTTTGTGGGATATCCAAAAGAAACTAAAGGGTATTATTTCTATAATAAATCCGAGAAGAAAGTGTTTGTTGCTCGTGATGGTGTCTTTTTGGAGAAGGAACACCTTTTCAAAATGACAAATGGGAGGAAAATCGAACTCGACGAAGTTCCAAAGGACGAGCAACATTGTCAACCTGATAAAACTGACAATCTAAGTGCTTTGGAAGCAGCTGAGAAGATTGGTCAGAATCAAATAGACAATGTAAATGCTCAACCCATTACCCTTCGTAGGTCGCAACAACCAAGATCTCAACCAGACAGATACCTTGGTATTGTCTTAACCGATGATCAGGACATCCTAGTTATGGATGGTGATGAGCCAGCGATATACAAACAAGCTATGACGAGCCCCGACTCTACTAAATGGCAAGAGGCCATGAAATCCGAGGTGGACTCCATGTCTGAAAATCAATTTTGGGACTTGGTGAATTTGCGTGAGGGTTACACACCCATCGGTTGCAAATGGATCTTCAAACTGAAGATAGACAAAGATGAAAATGTATCAATATACAAAGCTAGACTGGTGGACAAAGGTTATAGACAAATCCACGGGATTGACTATGATGAAACCTTTTCACCAGTTGCAATGCTAAAGTTTGTCCGGATTATCCTAGCGATTGCTGCATATTACGATTATGAAATATGGCAGATGGATGTCAAAACCGCCTTCTTGAATGAGATTTTGGAAGAAACTGTGTATATGAAACAGCCAAAAGGTTTTGTTGATCCAAGTAACGCTGGAGAGGTATGCAAGCTTAAGAAGTCCATTTATGAACTGAAGCAGGCAAGCAGAAGTTGGAATCTGCTATTTGATGAAGCCATCAGCAAGTTTGGTTTTATCAAGAATCCAGATGAGTCTTGTGTCTACAAGAAGGTCAGTGGGAGTGACATCGCATTCTTAGTCCTATATGTCGATGACATACTGCTCATTGGAAACAGCACAAAATTACTAGAGTTCGTAAAGGGTTGGTTGGGAAAGTGCTTTTCAATGGAGTTAGGTGAGGCACAGTACATACTGGGCATCAAGATCTACAGGGATAGATCTAAGAGGATGATTGGATTGAGCCAGAGTACTTACATTGATAAAGTACTAGCACAATTCAACATGGAGAATGCCAAAAGAGGGCACCTACCCATGTCCCATGGCGTGACTCTCAGCAAGAAATAGTGTCCACAGACACCTGTTGAGCGAGAGAGAATGGATCAGATTCCATATGCTTCGCTAATTGGGTCGATCATGTATGCCATGATATGTACCAGGCCAGATGTATCGTATGCTTTAAGCGCTATACGAGCCGATACCAATCAAACCCAGGAGAGGCACATTGGACTGCGGCCAAGAATATCCCAAAGTACCTGAAAAGGAACAAGGATAAATTCCTGGTCTATGGTGGGCACAAAGATTTGGTTGTTGACGGTTACACCGACGCTAGCTTCCAGACTGACAGAGACGACTTCAAGTCACAATCAAGGTACATATTTTACCTAAATGGAGGAGCGTTTAGTTGGAAGAGTGCCAAGCAAAGCACCACTGCAGATTCAACAACTGAAGCCAAATACTTGGCAGCTTCAGAATCCGCTAAGGAGGCTGTTTGGATTCGCAAGTTTGTCAGTGAACTTGGTGTTGTACCCTCCATCAAGGGTCCGATAGATCTCTATTGTGACAACAATGGAGCTATCGCTCAGGCTAGAGAGCCAAGAGAGCACCAGAAGGTCAAACATGTCTAGAGGCGATTTCACATGATAAGGGAATGGAAATCCGAAGGTGAAATCAAAATTTGCAAGATAGGAACGGATGATAATGTGGCCGATCCTTTTACTAAACCTCTGCCTCAAGTGAAACACAACAAGCACATTGAGGCAATGGGAATTAAGCACGTTGGAGATTGGCTTTGAAATTCCCTGTACATGTGTTTTAATTAAACTAGACGTTTTAATGTAAGAAACTGTGTTGAAACCATTCATTTATGGAGTAATGAATTTTAAATTTTATATTCACTCCATTGCTATTTAATTGTGGTTTAGAATTAAATAATGAGTCCATTCGTTTTATGGAAATATTCAAAACAGGGTATCAAGACCATGTCTTGGATAAAGAAACACCTGTTAAGTGAACATTGAATATTTAAATCGAAAATTATCCCTAATCAAGGTCATCTAACTGATGGACGATTGATGACCACCAGAGATTAGTGTGTAGTATGATTTACAGCACCGTTTCTTGTGCTGCAAGGACGTAATGGTCATAAATCATTTGCACAAGTGCTAGTTTAGAACTGTACTAGATAGACCTATGAGAGTACTTTAAGAGATTCAAAATTGTCATAAGTACATTTCTCATTATAGCTATCGGAACCTGTTTCCTCAACCATAAGTATTGTGAAATTTTCTTGTTTGAGTACTAGTCTCTTTGATGTTGCCTAACGTCTGCCGTAACTGGGGATCATAACGGGAATACTCGGGAGATTAGGTCCTCTTAGTAAGAGAAACTTACAGTACAAGATTGGTAATGTCCCCTATTAACAATAGGGAACATGTTTTGTTGTTTACAAGGCCGCTCGAAGAGCGAGACTGTGAAAATGCATGGTCGTGCTCAGATGGATTTTAGAAATCATCTGCTTATTGACAGTCAAACTCGGAGACCGAGAAACACTTCTGAACGTAATAAGGATGACGATGAATCTTACCTTATAGTTCACGAAGAGACATTAAGCGACATAGGAAATGGGCTATACACTGCATGCACACTTGTCCGGAAGGACAAGTGGGAGATTAAAAGGAATGGTGTCCTTCCAACAAGTGTATTGTTCTGATAGAGTGTTCAGAATTATTAAAGAGCTAATTCTTCAGTAAGATCAAGTGATCGGAATGCCTAGGTGGAGGCCGCTTTCAATCAGTAATATTAAGGCACAATTAATATTAAAGATTAATCTTAACTGAACCCTTCGGGTCAAACCCAATCGAACAACCGATCCGAGACGACGAATCAATCCGAAGGATTCAATGAGTCGTCGGATTTTTACGAACACAGACGTCGGATATCGAGCCGAGGGCGTCGAAACCGAGCGTCGCAAAATCACAAGTAACAAGTTCGAGCGTAGCCGTAGCATCACTATGGCCTAAACATGTGGACGCTAGGCTAGCTCGAGCTAGTATGAACAATGCATGGCTAGGCACACGTTGCGTGCTAGACGCACATAGCAGCACCATCGCAGTGCTAGGCACTAGCGTGTGTGCGTGCGTGTGTGCTTTCGCACAGCACAACACCATCGCAGTGATAGGTACTGGCGTGTGTGCATGCGTATGTGCCTTCGCACAGCTCAATGCACTATCGCAACACATATCACAGCATTAGGCAGCATCGCCATGTGCGTGTGCATCGCTAGCACATCACCAAGCAATAGCATGCTTGTGCGTGTGGCTGGCGAGGTAATGCCCAGCATGCGTGGCTCGCTAGCAGCACGCATGTTGGCTATGCGATGTGTGTGCGAGAGGCTAGGCAGTAGCGCTACGCACTAGCCAGCAAGGATGTGCGTGTGTGTGTGCGTTGGCTAGACAGCAGCACTACGCTAGCAGCGCCCAGCAACCCAGCAGCACGCACATGCTGGGCATGCTGGGGCCAGTGCGTGCTGGCACCTTGAGCTGGCTGGTAAGCTGGCATGCTAGCTGGCTACCAGCCCATCAGCCCTTGTGGGTGGCGGTTTAGGAGAGGTGGGGACCAAGGCCTCAAGGCTTCCCTTGGGGAGCAAGGCAATGGTCCCCCCATGGGATATGGTCCTCACCTAACCCATTCTCTCCTCTTGCCACTTGTTGTCTTGTGATTGCATTTGCTTTATAATTTATTTTAGAATTAGATAAATTAGTGCATTTGCACATAATCCCACATTGATTATGAAATGGGATTCAAGTCCCCATTCTCTATAAATACCCCTTGGTTGGGATTTTGAGAATACACAACTTGAATAGAACTCAAAAGGTATCTCCATTGTTGAGAAAGCCTTAAGTTCGTAAAACTCCCTTTTTTATTTGATCGGGTCCCTACTAACCTTCGGGACTTGGATCACTCGGGTCGGAGTTCGTGGGTACGAGCCGTCGGAGACCTTGCGATTGCGGGGTTCAAGTAAGAGCTCTTTTGGTGAGCGAAGCACGCGTCTAGGGTATAATTCTTTTCCCCCTTTTCTCTTAATTATGTATTAATTATGTTTTGCATGCTTTATTTGCTTTAGTTATCGGGACGGGTCTTGATGGGTGTCCTTTCGCGTAGAGTGGGTCTCTACGAAACCCTACAGGCCTATCACCAAACCATGAAATATTGGATATTATTCTTTTTAAAGTAAATTTTTAATAAATGAAAATATGTTGAATTGGGGAAACTCCCAAGCCTAAACTAAATGTAAATAAGATACATGAAAATAACACTGCATAGCAAATTGGAGTAAAGACCTTAAATGTTATGAATAGGATTAAATTATGATTCCATCGTTTTGTTTTAATCGCCACCATATATGTTCAAAAAAATTAAGAAGAGTAAAAGGTGAGGATTGTCAAATTTACCAATGAGATACAAAGAAATGACCGAGAGAGAGAAAATGTAGGGTAATAATGGTTAATAACACATGTGAACAATGGTTTATTAGCATATTTTATGTGCGAATATACTAAATAAAAAAAATTGCGTAATTAATAAGAAAATTTCAATAAAGAAAAATGATGCAATTAAAAAAAATAGAGGAAATGGTAAAAACAATGCAATCTCAATTAAGTTTTTGATAGAGAAACATTTCAATTTATTACTCCACAAATAATAGTATTAAGAGGTGCTCTTAATTAAACCAAAGCAAATAACTTAACCATCTATCCAAAACAAAACATAAACACACCAACTCCAACAACAAAACTAAGTAGCCAATTGGTTCTGAAAGCAGTGAAACCCACAACAAAAGATTTGTTGGGACTGTTGGATGGAACATCAGCATCCGACGGGCTCGGCGAAGGGGCTTTTGAAGACGGAGCTGGGATTGAAGCTGATGGCGTAGGGGAAGCGGAAGGGGGCGAAGCAGGTGAAGGACTAGGCTTCTTAGGCCTAACAGCAAGGACCACAATGACAAGTTTTTGCCCTTTTTTACAATGATCTTCACTGCTACTAATGAAGTAGTGTGGCCCTGATCTTCCAAAAATATACTCTGATTTCCCTTCAGTTAAGGTTTTTATTGGCTTTTTCCCGTTGCATCGGTTGTATTTTTCTCTTGTAACTACAAGAACCGAGTCATTTCCGTTCTTCAACTTGAAAACTGAAATCAAAATTAATTAGTTATAATAAACTACTAAATTTTGATACAGAATATACCCATACAAAATATTACCTTCTAGATTTAGGATATATATATATTGTATAATTCAGAATATAATTTTGAATATGTATTCTAATCCTATTCTATATCTAGTGAGAAAATATTAATCTTTGATGAATTTCATGAATATGTTAAAAGTAATACTTTACTAAAAAAAATTTCCCTAATTTTTATTTCCCCTACATCTAATGTGAAAAACTTCTGTTTTAAGGTAATAATTTTAAAGTAATGTCATAATAAAAATTTAGTTATGAATTAATTTAATTATGATTCAATTTTAATTTGAAATAGTTTCCACAAAAACATATACTAAGTGCATTTCCATGTATTCTCTTTGCTGATATAAATATTATTTCAACTTGAGTTGGTTTTTAGAGAGAAGGGCTCTAAAAACCACCTCCTTTGCTTTTCCTATTTTTTCTTTCTTTTTTAGTTTTCTCTTTTAGATTCTCCTCTCCTCTGATCTCCCTCTTGTGTTTTCTCCTCTTCTCCTATGATCTCTCTTTCTTGGCTTCATTTTTCTTGATTTAAAGCATGTATTCCTTGCTTTTTGCCATCGCCTCCACCGCTTCCGCTAATGCCGCTGCCGCGCAACCTCCGTCGATGTCGGCTCCTCCTTTGAAGTAGCCCCTTCATCTTATTCTCTCTTTAGTTATAAAGGGATGATTAACGTAGGGTTGGAAATTTAACAAGATTTTTAAGATCTTGTTTTTTATATCATGCATGTCGGCTTTGACCTTTGATATTATGGGTTATTCCTTTGATTTCGTTTTCTATGCTTCAACCCACTTCAATTTGTGGTTGGTTGGAAATCTAGGGTTCATGTTGGTGGAATTCGAAAAGCCATGGTTCCACCGACTCCGCCGCTTTCACCACCGCCTTCACCGTCACCAACACCGCCTCCACTGTCAGCACCGCCGCCTCCACCACCATCGACTTTGCGGCTCGGTCTCCGTTTGATTGTCGGCAAACCTCCTTCGGTCATAGTGTTTTACAGTAATTATTTAACTTTAGTTTACCTTCCTATGAAAGCTTTTTGTATAGCTTCCTTGAGAAGCATTAGTTTGTATTTACTTTTTTTTCGCGAGAGTTTTCGTCGCTTTGATTGGTTTGAGAACCTGATTGAAGAAGACCAGAATTTTGGAATACACATAATTTTTTTAGAGCTTTACTTTTTTTTATTATTATTTTTTTTTATCCTAATCTACTAGTTCGATCATGTGATATGTAGACTTTTAGATTTTAATGATCCTTTTCTATGATAGGGGGATTGTTAACCCATGTATTTTACCTTTAAAAAAAATGTATTCTCTTTACTTTTTCATTTTTTTTATTTATTTTTTTAAATACAACACTAGATTAAATAGATATATACCATCATTTTATCTCTCTCTCCTAAAATGATTCCCACACTCTCACATCCCTTACTTTTAATTTTTATTCCCCAGCAACCTTCACTTTTTTTTTTTTTTAATTTTTTTTTTTTAATATTTTTTACCCCACGTCAATTAAAATATATGTTGAATTTTAAAAACAACTAAAGACATATATGATCATAACTTAGTAAGATATGAAATGAGTAAATAAATTTTAAATAATGGTCAAATTTTCCAACCTGCATCTTATACAATATATACATACTCAAGCAAAAATTGTTTCTATTCTAATCATCTATACCCTAATTAAAACTTTACAGCTTAGTTCGGCTAAATACACATTGCATGCAAATTAAATTCTTAATCAAACAAATTTAGTGATACAATAATTTAGAATCATCCTATACATGGAAATGCATGGACACTCTTAAATGCAAATTCTTATTAAATGAGTATGATTTTTCTACTTAAGATATACAATATGAATTATAATTCCTCCATCCTAAATTACTTGAAATATTTTTTATTAACGTGTATAATGAGATACATGTATGTCACTCCTACATATACATAAAAATAAATAAACAAACAAAAATGAAAAATGTTAACAAGAAGACTTACATAGGGTATCGTTCACTTGAAACCTATTTCTTTCAGCCCAATGATTATAACTTTCAGATGGATTTAACACCCATCCATCTTTTCCACCAACAGAAAATTTGTATCCTCGGGATGAATCAATCCATATCATTAACAACACAAAAACCAAGAACATAAATTTTTGGAATCCCATCACTATTTTTTTTTTTAAAAAAAGAAGAATAATAGTGATTACTAATTAAGCACTCAAAGGAAAAAGAAGGAGAAAGACAATAAATTGTGATCAAGAAAATCTTAAGAGAGAAGTATTATAGTGGTTGAGTAATGTGATGAGAAATAAAGGAAAGCATTGGGATATATAAGGAAAGAATTAATCACGAGGTTACCGTTGTGAAACATACCTCTTAGTTGTAAACTTTTGTAATAATATTTGGATTGAATTTTCATAATTATTAAGTCGTCATATTAGCAATTTTAAGCGAATGCGTTACGTAAAAAAATTATGATTCCTATCTATTTTTATAGCCAACGTTAGATTCATACACGTCGCCGTGAATTTATATGTGCAACGGTCCTTTTTTTTTCTTCTTGTTAGTTGTTACTAACATGCAAACGTGCTAAATGAGTACAAGATGAATACAATGAGATTTTCATTTTAAAAAGATTATAAATTATTTGGGTCCAATTTACTCCAATTGTGTCGGTCCATAAATGATTTAATTACAAAGCCCAAGGCTAAGGTTCAATTCTCCAAACATGTCAAGTCAGCTACGGCCCGGTCAATGTGGCAAGCCCACTTGATCCACGACCCACACATCTATTGAGAAAAGGTATAAAAATCTTCAATCCTCTCTCTCTAGGGGATACACACATTAAGCCTCAAGCAATTAATACTCTTGCATAACTTTCTCTTTCTAAACATTGTACTGACTTCGGCATCGGAGGGGCCTTTTCTCAGCACATCCCCGAGGCAAGTTCACGTATGTTTGCTGTGCAAGAAACCCTCGGCCCAGGCATCACTTGGACCGAGATCAGTCTTCGGCCCACAAAAAAGGACCTTGCCGAAAGTCCCATTGTTTTTATTAGAAACAATTTGGCGCCGTCTGTGGGGAAGACATTCAAAAATAAGCCAAGAATCAACTAATCTTAGCAAAAAATGACTAAGAGTGGTAAGAGTGCTAAGAGTACTAAAAAGAATGACCCTTCCTCTTCGAGGAAAGGTCCAATTCATGTGAGGAGGAATACACTTGCTCCACCATCACCAGAACCTTCTTCTTCTTCTCCCTTTTCCTCGGAAAGGGCAGCTCAGGAGAGGTCACCATCCCATCATACTCGCCAGCCGACCAGCTCATATCGGCGAAGTCAGTCCAATGCAAAGAGTCCCCCTCGAAGCTTCCATTCTCGGTCTCTTTCGAGAGCAACTCCTCAAACGGGGCCCTCTACGGAGGAAGTGGCACGAGCCGTCGCAGTCTTCATGGACCTCATGAAGGCCCAAGGAGGAAACTTTTCACCACCCCGTGACCACTCGCCTCTTCCACCAAGAAACTTAAGAAGGAGAACCGGCAAAGAGGAAAGTGGACGAGCTCCATCCTTCAAGGAGCTCGGGGATAAATAGGAGGAGGACACTTGGAGAACTGAGCGGGTGAGGAAAAAGAACCCTCAATTCTTCGAAAATTCGAAACCCAAGACCCCCGAAGTTACAAAAGCAGCAACACCACCTCTGCGTGGCAAGAGCCTGCTCGCCGAAACATTCACGAACGTCTTGGCTCAAGGGAGGTGACCGTGCACAGTCGCTTAACCTACCCCGAGGGAACCGAGCCTTGTTCCGAATCGTCCCATCCAAGCACGAAAACCACTTCAACCTCTCTGAGAGGGAGGAGCCAGGTCTTGTCAGCTAGACATAGGGGGAAGGTCGTGATGTTTCCCACCAGCTCACCCTTTAAAAGCTGGATTTTGGAAGAGCATGTGCCGACGGTGAAAATCCAGGCACACATAACTTATGACGGTACTTTAAATCCGAAGGACCACATTGCCTCTTACGAGGGGCACATGTATCTGAATTCCAAGTCCGAAGCGACCTGGTGCAAATATTTCCCGACCACTCTTAAAGGTGTTACACAAGCGTGGATCACCAAGGGAGTAAAGGAAGGCTCGATAACCACTTTGAAAGACCTTTCCAACAAGTTCAAGAGCAAGTTTTCTACGGCGAACCGCCGAGAGAAGACGTCTGCAGAACTGATGAGTCTGCAGCAAGGGGAGGACGAGAGGCTCCGATACTATCTGACGCGCTTCAGCAACGAGTCGTCCAGAATTACAAGTCTGGATCAAGGGCTAGCCATTTTCGCACTGCGAAACTGGCTGCAAGCTGGGAATTTCCTCGACTTCATGGTCATGCGTCCCCCGCAGACCTTTGAGGAAGCTCTGGATGTTTCGGATAATTACATCTGAGCCGATGAGTGGAACAAAACCAAATCCCAGTCTCAATCTAGGGCTAGGAAGACAAAGGGACAGCAGTCCAAAAGCTAGAGCCAGAGGAAAGGGAAGACCAGAGCCTTAGAGCTTTAGCCCACAAGGCATTGAGGGAAGGGTATTATTGGCCCACCATGATCTTAGACACTAAGGAGCTGGTCAAAAAATGCGTGAAACGTCAAAAATTTGCGCCAGTCATCCATCAGCCAGCTCGAGATCTTCAGCCAATCCTGAATCCCCTTCCATTTGCCCAATGGGGTCTGGATATCTTGGGACCCTAGCTTGATGCCCCGAACCAAAAAAGATGGCTGATAGTTGGCATTGACTATTTTTTTATATGGATCGAGGCTGAGGCACCTCGAACGTCTCAGAGCAAACTGTTAGAAATTTATCTAGTAGAATATCATCACTCGCTTCGGGGTTCCGAAGGCTCTTGTCTTTGATCATGGAAGACAATTTGATAATTTGCCGCTGAAGCGATACATAGACCAGTTTGGCATAAAGTTGGCATACTCGGCAGTATGCCATCCGCAGAGCAATGGTCAAGCCGAAGCTGTAAACAAGAAAATCTTGAATGCTCTCAAGAAGAGGGATGAAGATTAAAAGTCCAAGTGGATAGAGGAACTCCCAAGAACCCTCTGGTCACTTCGAACAACTTAAAAAGAGGCTACGGGATATTCACCTTTTGACCTGGTGTATTGATCCGAAGCCGTCCTTCCTGTAGGATCGGCACAGAGAGTTTGCGTGTAAATCTGTTCTCAGCCGAAGAAAATGAACAACTCATGAAAGAATCCCTCGATTTTCTTGACCAGGTCCGGGACTCGGCTCGAGGCAGAATGGCCGCATATAAGCAAAGGATCAGCAAATTTTACAACAGAAGAGTTCATGCAAGACTTCTCAAAATTAATGATCTTGTTCTTCGGAATGCTGCAGCTGTGCAAAAAGGACGCATTTACGGGAAACTCTCAGCAACTTGGGAGGGCCCCTATGAAATTTATGATGAACTTCAGCCTGGAACATACCGACTTCGGTAGTTGGATGGAACTGAGCTGAAGAATCACTAGAGTGCTGATGATTTTAAGAAATGTCATGTGTAAACCCTTTGGGGCAGAAAAATCTATGTAAGTGCATCTTCAAATTAATGAAAGGCCTTTGAGCCACCATTTCCACCAAATGTGCGAGTTGCTATTATCTGTCAACAGTGACAGGATCAGGCTGAGCAACTGCGCTTGGGCTTTTAGAAGCTTAGCACCAGCTGAAGAGGAGGCAGGCTGAGCAAGAATCTTTTAAGACTCTCTCTTCTTGGCTTCTTCTCTTTTCCTCTCTTTAGCTTCCTTCTCTGCTCGAGCTTTGGCTTTAGCCTGACGAGCCGGGAAAGCAGTCTCAGCAGGATGGGCCATATGCAGATGCGGGGCGTTAGGATCCATGGACTACTCCTCAGCTTTGTCCCAGTAATGTTTGGATCAACATGGAAAGCAAGGCGCCGAGATGTCTGGAAGCCGTTGTCAAAACCCTCGTCATATTCATTTTGGCTGTAGATCTTGAATTCTATCAACTTCCGGGCAGCCTCAAGATCAGCTTCAGTCTTAGCAGCCCCTTCACTCTGAGCCTTCAGCTGGCTTCGGACAACATTCAACTCAGCGTGGGCCTGGTAAAGCTCGGCATCTTTGGCTTCCAGCCCAAGCTCAGCCTCAGAGAACTCCGCGTCCTGAGCTTCGAGCTCATTCCTAAGTCGTAGAATCTCGACTTGAAGTTCAGACTGCCTCTTGTTAGCTTTTGTCTTCGGCCTGGGCAGCCTTCCCTTTGAAGTCCTCGACCATCAGACCCCGAGTCTCAACTTCTCGCTGCACCCTCTGTTCAATGCGGGCCTTAAAGCTGGGAATGTGTGCAGCCCCATACTCCTAGACCAGCGTATGACCCTCGTCTAACCAAGGGAAGACGATCTGCTCCAAATCCTGGTAGAAGGTCCGAAAACCGGCAGTCATGGAATCCAGGTCAGCTCTAAGGGTAGCGGCAGCATCCTCGGCATCTAGCCTCCTCAGCTCAGCAATCTTTGCTTGGAATTCAGCTTCCTTGCCCTTATCTGCCTTGGATCTCAGCTCATCATTCATCTCCACAGCCAAGAAGTGGTTATGAACGACCTGCAAAGTTAAGGAGCAATAATTAGCCGAGGTAAAAAAAGGGGGGGGCTTAAACTTAAGTCAAAAAGTTGTACCGAAAGATTTACCGACATCAGCAGCCTCTGATTTTCAACAAAGGGGTCCGGGACCCTAGCAAGTGGCTCAGATGCACAAGCAGCAACCCTAATGGTCCAAGCCCTGACCCTCTCCAGCTTAAACATGCTAGAGAGGTCGCCGAAGTAGTCCATGGTCGAGCTATGCCAGGACTTGAAGACGTTCCTAGCATAGTCGAGAATAGGCACCAAAGGGGCAGAGTTGAACCCCATCTCCGTAGACTGAAACGTCTTGAAGGATTCAGTAGCCGAAGTTGAATGCATATCGGTGTTCTTACCCTCCTCAGCTTTCTCTTCCCCTTCGGCCTCCTTCAGATCATCAGTATCCAAACCCTAGGGGTCTTCATTCAAAATTGGTACTTCTTCGTCCTCAGGGTGGAAGAGCAGTGCATCAGCTTCCCTTTGAACCTCATTAGTAAAAGGCTTCGCCACGTGCCGAGGAGAGGAGAGAGGAGCCAAACAAGAAATTCCAACCTCCTGAGTCTCAAGAGGAGCCTCCGGCATAACCTCATCCTCCCAAAATGCCTCAGGAGGAGGGGTGCTCATCAGATTATCTCCCTCGGCATGAACCTCATGAGGGGAAGGAGTCTTCTCTTTC